CCCCCCCAAAACATTAAGGAAGTCTGAATAACAGAATAATAGAGCCATCTTGAAGTGATGGCTCCATTAAAGGTGCAACTTTCCCCCCCAAAACATTAAGGAAGTCTGAATAACAGAATAATAGAGTTGAAAGGGACCGTGGAGGTTTTCTAGTCCAACCCTCTGCTCCAGCAGGAGACCCTATACTATTCCAGACAAGTGGCTATCCAGTCTCCAAAGTCTCTGGTGAGGAGCACCTACAACTTCTGAAGGCAAGCCATTTCATTGGTTAACTGTTCTCACCGTTAGAAAATTCCTCCTTAGTTCTAGGTTGCTTACCCACACTTCTTTGTGGCAGCCCCTCAAATATTGGAACACTGCTAGTTCTAGTCCTTCTTTTCACCCCTAGTCCTTCTTTTCACTAAACTAGACATACGCAGTATTCTAGGTGTGGCCTTACTAAGGCTTTATAAAGCAGTATTAATACTTCATGTAATCTAGATTCTATCCCTCTGTTAAAGCAACCCAGGATTGCATTGGCTTTTTGGCTGCTGCTGTACATTGCTGGCTCATATTTAAGTGATTGTCCACTAGGAACCAAGTAAAAAAAAATCAGGCTAATAATGGAGAGATGTTGTGCTTATATGAGGTCTGAAGCACTTCTAAATTATTTTCAAAGCATCCCCAGCCCCAGTCTTTACTGTGCTTGTAGAGGTATTTGAGCTACTATGTTTGAAGGAATGACTTAAGGGTACTTAAATAGGACAATGTCAAAATTAAGTAATTCTTTATTTAAAATACAGGATGTGCTTTTAATAGCTTTAAAACATAAGAGATTACATAGTGGTTCTGTCACTGCAGAATTATTCCTCATTGATGCATTTTTTCTTTTTTAACTGTCATACTCTTATTATCCCAGGATGTTATGCAGGATTACAGTATACATTCCCAGATTGACCTTTCTAGTCTCCTTCTGCATGCCACCTTAAGGTCCTATTTTCAGTATGAAGGGCCATTGTATAGGATTAGGATTTGGTTTTCCTTGTGTGAAAGGTAGGAAACAGTATTAAGATCTCCACTGATATGAAGATATGAAAAGGAATGTGGTACAGTAATTAAGGTGCTGTATTAGAAGTGGAGACATAGGTTCTAGACTTCTTCCATAAGAATGGAAGCCAACAGAATGATTTGTGGCCAGCCACGCCTAGTGACAAGATGACTAATAGATATACACACATGCATATACATGCACCCCATATATGCCATCATATCATGCACTGATACCTTTGTTCTTCTGCTCTGAGTCCAATTGAAATGCCAGCAGAGCCGGCCATTTCATAATGTATCTATGGTATTAATATGGGATATCTTTTTATATTTGATCCGAAATGCTTTATCTAATTGCAATACTCTGTCCTGTTAAACACTGGCCCCAAACCTTTTGGGCAGCAGGGACCAGTTCCAGGGAGAAAGGTTTTTCCATGGACTAGAGGTGGCATGGTTTTGCATTCTTCCTACACCCAACAGATGGAGCTTCGCTTCTTTGCGCAGCCGAGTTGTTGGCATGCTGTGGAGCCAGAGGTGATGTTTAGCAAGTTCAGACCAGTTCTGGAGAACCAGTAGCAGAAATGTTGAGTAGTTTGGAGAAAGAGTAAAAACCACCTCTGATTGGCCCCCGCCCCCATCTATTCTCTGCCACCCGAGTCCCAGTTGATCAGGAGGAAATGGGGATTTTACAGTATCCTTCCCCTGCCACACCCACCAAGCTATGCCCACCAAGCCATGCCATATCATGCCACGCCCACCAAACCTCACCCACAGAACCGGTAGTAAAATATTTAAAATCCCACCACTGTCAGGGGAGTGGTGCCAGACTGGAGGGCTGGGGACCCCTGCTGTAAAGGAATTACTAGAGTGAGATGTGGCTACAGTAGAGGTATCAGGTGAAGAGATGAAAAGTAAACAAAACTCTTGTGTCTTTTACTAGGTTTATAGAAGAGATAATTTTATGAAAAACAGTTTGTAGATATAGGAGCCCTGCCTTTCTTTACATTTGGCTGGAATTCTGGCAGATCCAGTATTGCTTCCAAGGCTTTCAAAGGAAATTTTTCCAGCCCTACCCATAAATGTCAGAGACTGAATCAAAAATATTATGCCTTTACTAGCTGGGAAATCTCCACCTGTGTCGGCTTTAGTTCCCAGAATCCCATTACCAAAGTAGCCATCACTAAGAATTCTGGGAACTGCTGAATAGAAAATGCCTACCTTAGGGAAGAGCATTCTGTATTTTCTATCCTGATACATGTGGAGATAAAGGTTTTTTAAATAAAAATGTATTAAAGTTCTTTGCAGATAATAACCAGTATTGTAGTAAAATTGTAGTATCCTATAAAACAGATATTTAGTTGGTTTTACATTCAAATCTTGACTCTTCATCAGGAATACAAGCTGAGTGAACATGACCTTGTAGATGACCCTCACTCTGTCAAGGAGCTTAGAGTACTCATCTCTAATGATCTAAGTGCCAGAGTCCACTGTAACAACATTGCCAAAAAGGCATTAAGAGTTGTTAACCTAATCTTGTGTAACTTCTTCTCTTGTAATATTGTACTGCTAACCAGAGCATACAAAACCTTTGCTAGAACAATTCTTGAATACAGCTCTTCTGTCTGGAAACTGCACTGCATATCGGACATTAATGCAATTGAGCAAGTCCAGCGTTATTTCACGAGAAGTGTCCTCCACTCCTCNTAACTCTCACTGTCAAAATTTGCCCTTCATGACTTCCTTTCAATTTTCTAGTCTTTGGTTCTGGAGTAATGCCACCAAGACTGTTTCAGAATAAATGATTTAAAAATTATAAGGTACATGTGGCTGCATGTATGAACAGAGCGAGGCAAAGGAAGATATATGCATAATAGAAATCGGCTATGGGAATATTCCTTTAATTTTAATAAAAATAAAATAAAATAGGAGTCTTCTTGCCAAAACTAAATGTAATAATAATAAAAATAATGTTTATTTAATAGACAATTCCCATCAGAATCTTTGTGGGTAGTGATGATGTGGGGGAATTCAACGTGAGTTTCTTCATTTGAATTATTGTGATCGATATAAATATTATTTCTTAATAAAATGTATTCCTCTGTTTAAATAAAAAGCTAATTGTACAAGCCAATAACAAGTATGGGAATATGTTGATGTTAGTAGCCTAAAGCTTTAAAAAAAATACTTTTTTTTAAAGTCACATTTCTTTTTTTTTTAAATCCTGGATATTTAAACCCCAAAAATATGTAAAGCAAGTGCAGCAGAATCTTTTCCTCCAGGCAGTGGTCCTCCTTCTTTTTACAGGAGTGAAAGATCACAGATAAAAGCATAAAATTTCATCGCCGGTAGACATAATCTTGTCCAGCTGAACTTGTTCATGTTCTTGCAATTAGAGTTTCCCCGAGAGTTAGTTGTGCAGCTTCTGCTTAAGTACTTTTCACAAAAGAGAGCTCTTAATTTCCCAAAGCAATCAAACCCCCCAGTCCAATAGCAATTATCCTTTGGAAACATTCCGCTAAATCATAACAGATAGGGGTACCATTCCTTGCTTTTTTAGGAATATTTTAATCTGAAGTGTATGCAAACCACCAGCTGATCTAAAGAACCTTCTGATCCCAAGTTGTAGTATTCCCAAACAAAAGTAACTTCAGGACTTGTTTAAGAGAAGATATTTACAATGGCGTTCCGACACCTACAGCCACCTACACAGAAATGCAGAAGCCTTACACAAGGATCATTAGCGATGTGCCAAAGGTGTCTCTGCTGTTACAGGAGCAGATGAGGGTTTTAAGATTGTAGTCCTGAAAAAGCACATAGGGAGTAATGCCACTGAATACAATAGGGACTGACACCCCTCGCCCCCCAAAACCCCCTGTATAAAAGGAAATGCAATCTAGCAAAGGAATACAGAACTGAGTTGCTACCTGCTTAACTATGGAATTCCTTACTATTGACCATCCTCAGTGTCAAACATACACACTGTATGCAGATTACTTGGGATTCAATCCATTGAATGTGCACAACCAAGACTTTAACTCCAGGGGCCTGGTACAGCTCATAAAGGATCACCTATGGACCCAAATAAAGTTAATTTACTGTAAGGTATCTGGTCCACCTCACAAGTTTGCTCACAGTGCCCAACACACTGAAGACCCTAGACAGCTCTTGACAGATTGAAAAAAAAACCATATCTGACATATTTTTGTATGATCAGAATTGTAGCTGCTTTCCTTACATTTGACTAAGGCAGTTGAGTAGCCAGAGTGTAAATGTGTGCAGTCTTGTGATTATTATGCTCTCCTTTTATTTGCTTTCCTGCTAATGAAACAGTCTCCTAAAAATAAAAAAGGGAAAAACGTTGATCCCTTCAAGATCTTTCTCTCTGACACATAAACTCTTTGCACCAGTTCCGTAAGTGTTATTTTTACCAGAGTAGGCGTGTCACAGAAGACAAGTTGCAGCAAGGCACTTCAAATGTTTGAGTATCCAATTGTCTCAAATTCTGTGCCAGGTTCTTTCCCAAACAGATAAAAGGGGAGGTTTCCTGCTCCTTTATATCAGAGAGGTTCTGCCTTTTGCTTTCTCTGCTTTCTCTGCAGTGCTGCTTATCATCCAAAACTTTCTTCATCTTCTCGCTCCAAGTAAACCATCATGAGTCGTGTTTCCTATCGAACATCCTCCGGAGGAGCTAGCAGAGGCTTTACCTCCGGCTCTGCAATTGTTGGTGGTAGCGGTGGTGGGAGAGGCAATTTCAGCTCCTACTCGGTCTCTCGAGTTGGAGGAGCAAGAGCTGGAGGGGGTGGCGGCTATGGAGTTGGCGGATTTGGCAGCCGAAGCCTGCACAACATGGGCGGAAGCAAGCGAATTGCCTATGGTACCGTTTGTGGAGGTCTAAGATCTGGCTATGGTGGAGGATATGGCATTGGTGGAGGATCTGGTTTTGGTTTTGGCATGGGTGCAGGTGGAGCTGGCTATGGCATGGGTGGTGGTGGAGCTGGCTATGGCATGGGTGGGGGTGCTGGGGGTTTTATGGTAGGTGGACCAGCCTTTGTAAGAGGTGGTCCAGGTTTTCCAGTTTGCCCCCCTGGTGGCATCCAAGAAGTGACCATCAACCAGCAACTCTTGCAACCTCTCAATCTTGAGATTGACCCAGAGATTCAGCGAGTGCGTTCTCAAGAAAGAGAACAGATCAAGACACTCAACAACAAATTTGCCTCCTTTATTGACAAGGTAAGAGGGAGTGATTTTACTTGATCTTTGGGGCCCATAAATTTGAAGTAACCCTTCACAAACTTAAGTCAATTCAATGGCTATTTATCAGTTATCTTTGAGTGCCCTCTGATAAGGTCACATTTGATATAGACAGATGAGCAATAACAGACAATTATTTCTAATATTGTCCAAAGTCATCATCAAATTGTTGAATTAACTTTTTTATTCTGAGGATGAAGGGTCATGTAAAATAACGGGAGGACTTCTAGCCCAAGATCTGATGAAAAATAAAGCTCCAGTTATAGACAATTTAAATAGTTCAGTTTCAAAGTCAACGATTGCCATTCTTAAATATGACAGTGTTGAGAATAAAGCAGTTATTTCCTCTGTTTTTCTGGATTTGTGTACTTAGTTTGTGTATCCTTTGTGGAATGCACAAATACCAACCCTAACTGAAGCCAATTTATCAAAGACATCTTTTAAAAATAGATGGCACAGATACGGTAAATGCTGAAGCCAAGAAAGGATGCTTTATATATTCACTGCAGATAACAAAAGGAATTCACACCCAAATTATAATACCGTTATTAATCCAGCTTGCAGCTTGGCATTGTTTGGGAGGGGAGCATGATAACATGTAACATTCTATCATTGCTTTGGATGTTGTAATCTCATTGCCATGTTCAGGGCTCTCTGCACACTGTAGAGTGTGTGTGCGATTTCACTGAAGTTGTGGAGATTAGGTTATGGAGAATAAAAATATAATTGCTAAGTGATCGCCCTGAAAAGTACATATTTTTAAACTTATTTTTCATGTCACTTGAAACAGCAGCTCCGTTCCCTGCTAGTTTTCACAACCTCCTCTTTGGCCCCCATTTTTTCCCCTTCCCTTTTCAGCCTCCTTTGCTACTTTTTGTCCCTGCTGAATTGCTGTTTTTTTTTAAAAAAAATGTTCTCTTGTTTGATTTGTCTGCACACGGTTGACACCATCTAGAGTTGGGGAACTTTGCAGGGCTACATAAGAGACATAATGGTTCTCTGCTCCAAGGAGCTTCCAATCTACCCAGTGAGAAGGGACCAGAAAAAATAAGACGGGGAAAAGCCATTCATGTTTTGTTTTAAGTGGCGCAAGGGCCAAAATGCCAACTTAAAGGTTTCCAGGAACAAGTGGGCCGTGCATACATTCATTTCTTTCCCAAAGGAGCTCTCCCCACTGAAGTGTTAACTTTGCTTACCTGCCTCATTTTCATGGCTTTGTCTGTTCCATCTTGCAGGTCCGATTCTTGGAGCAGCAAAACAAAGTCCTTGAGACCAAATGGGACCTCTTACAACAGCAAGGGACTCAAGTTCGGCATCACAACATTGAGCCTCTTTTTGAGGGATACATCAACAACCTCAGGAGGCAACTTGATTCTCTAGTAAATGAACGGGGAAGACTGGACTTGGAGCTGAGGAACATGCAAGACATGGTGGAGGACTTTAAGAACAAGTGAGTAGTTTTCCATTCTATTCCATTCAGTCTAACATATTGGGAGGGCTGAAACGGGCAAGATGGGGACCAGAGTTGCTTAGGCTAGACTGAACCGTTATGTCATCCCTGAGCAGAATCTCCATCTCTCAAGGCTGGGGAAATAATGGCCAAAAGCCCATTAAAAAAAACCAGGATAAAAACAACAACTCTAAAGCAGACTTCTATTTTTGTTCTGCCTGATTTCTGCATAAAGCTGTTTATGTAGGATAATTGTAAAGTTTCCACTGTAAGCAAATTCCTGACTGTCTGGAGATCCAAGACTTATTGCAAAGCCTGGTGTAACATTTTAGCTTACGTCTACATAAAAGATTGATATTTCTTGCTGAATATACAGCCCCATCCCATGCAATTCATTCCAAAGGGGCTTGCCACCAGATACAGTAAATGCAAAGAATCTGACATTAATTAACTGAATTAGAGCCTATACTAATTATCCAAATGCATAGAACATCAAACATTCTCCATTCACCTCAGACCATCCAATAAGCAGTAATGAATTCATTCTAGTGGGAAGAACCCTGTGCATTTGCACTGCATTCCTATCACAAAACCTGGATTTTGGATTTAGGGTGTATGGCTGTAACGTTTTTAAGAAATGAAATAATGAAATGAAATGAAATCAGATGGCAGCCAACACCCCTCCTTTCCTTCTCTAAAAGATTTGAGAGTTTTGTTTCACCTGTCTGATTTGCACCAAATGCAAGTTCCAAGGCAAGTGCTTCACAAATCCACATTATTAATATATTTATTCAGGTTGATAAAGGCTTTCATGGAGCTGTAAATCTTAGCCATGAACCTCATGCCTAACCTAATTATTTATGTTCTTAGAAGTCTAGAAAAGCTTTGGGGGACTAAATTTTGGCTGTGAACATTATGTCAGAATGAGATCAACGAATGCTAACTACTTCACAAGTATGCAATAGCTTGCTAAATAGCAAACAGAAGTAGAAAGGGGACAAAATAGATTCTGCTCTGTAGTTTGCAATCCTATGCCAAAGTTTAGTTTTTTCATACTCCCCCTTAATCACCCAGCCTTCTTTTCTGTATAGTTCAAATGAATTCAGGTTTAGAAATCCACGTGCTCAAAGGCAAAACAGATTAAGGCTATGGTCTTGCACCAAGCTGTTCAGAATTAATCTGTTAATTGCAAAACCCTCCCGTCCTTCTTTTGTTCATTCCAGCCCCACCTTTGCTCCCAGATAGTTTGATTTGGCGTATGTTACAGGGCTTCACAGAGAGATGCCTGCAATGTACAAGCTTATCTTGCCAAACCCTCACAAAAGAATTGCAAATTAAATCACACGCCGCTACAAATTAAATACTTCATTTAGACTTTTGCACAACTGTATATCTTTATAACAGTCTCTCTTGTGGCTTTTAGGAGCATTCTACAAACTGCGTGTCAGCTAGCTAGCTGGGGTGAACCTTCAGCAAGGAGATCTAATCTATCTGATAAGAATGTTGAATATGATGTGTCTTCCCACCAGACCTGTGGGTTTTAAATTCATGTCAGCTGTACTTCTTTGAAATTAAGACAATGTTAGATATACTATACCCCAAGTAGGTAAAACATGCAAATCTGCATCTAGTATTTGCAACATGTGGCTTCAAAACCACCATTACTGAGCCAAGCCATAAGCATCAAAATTGGGGCAAGCATTGCTACAACCATGTCTCAATTTAATAGCAGCTATAGTAATTCTGATTCTATCTATAAAATACTGCGAATCATAGTGTAGGCTGGAGGAATTCCAAGGATTGATCTTTCGAAAACAAACTAGGTTACTTTCAAGGAATAATTCAGTTGGCGTAGACTACTAAGATTTCTAGAATACACTGATAAAATGTGGATTTAGCTGTCTTATATACGGTCTATCTGAAGTAATGTTCAGTTCTCATATTGCAACCTATGCATATTACTAATACTATCATTCGTTCCTCTTGTCTAACAGATATGAAGATGAAATTAACAAGCGAACAGGTGCAGAGAATGAATTTGTGGTGCTCAAGAAGGTAATTGATTTGCCTACAATATTTGGGTCTCAGTGAAATGAAAAAGAACGTCTGAATGTGTTAAGCCGAGCAAGTTTGGTTTGTCCTCAAAATGCAGCAGACTTTTCTTCTGTTTTGTGCAGGATGTGGATGGCGCCTACATGAATAAGATTGAACTTGCTAGCAAATCAGACTCACTGAATGATGAAATTGAGTTCTTGAAAGCACTGTTTGAAGCGGTAAGTTTCCTTTATTACGTTACCAAAGGTTCTATTTCTAAACTTAAAATAAGCTCTAGATCTATATTCAGTCAGAAGACTAGAAAATTTAGTTCTCAATGTAAACCTAAGCTTGAACCTTAGAAAAAGCCTTAGTAAATCTAAATCTAAATCTAACTGAACCGCAGTGCCACAGTGGTTAGAGTGCAGTACTGCAGGCTACTTCTGCTGATCACCAGCTGCCAGCAGTTTGACAATTTGGGTCTCACCAGGCTCAAAGTTGATTTAGCCTTCCATCCTTCCAAGGCGGGTAAAATGAGGACCCAGATTGCTGGGGGTAATATGCTGATTCTGTAAACCGCTTAGAGAGGGCTGTAAAGCACTATGAAGCGGTATATAAGTCTAAGTGCTATTGCTATTGCTAAACCTTCTACATCTGACTAAAGGCAGAATCTTTCCAAGATCTGTTAATTGGAAGCACTTGGAATTGAATATGGCCTTCTATACATGCTGTGCTGGCTGGGGGATTCTGGGAGTTGAAGTCTACAAGACTTCAAGTCTCCAAGGTTGAGAAACACTGGACTATATTATCTCTCATCCCTTTAATTGATTCTCTTATATTTCTATTTGCTATGAAGTAGATTATAAATATATTGGAAGAAGAATTTTAAAAATGCTACTGAAAACAAACAAAAAATACCAATTCCCTTTCAGTACCAATAAAAACATATTTTTAAAATATTTTAATCCCGCCTTTATTCTTTTTATAAGAAACTAAAAATGGCGCACATACCTAGCATTCCTTCCTTCTCAATTTTCCTCACAACATCCCTGTGAAGTAGATTGAGCTGAGAGACAGTGAATGGTCCAAAATCACCCAGCCATTTCATGCCTAAGGTGGGACTAGAAGTCCCATTTTCTAGCTTGGTGCCTTAACTTAACCACTAGACCAAACTGAATGTATTCAACATTTTATGTATCACTCTGAAACTTGATAAATTCTCCAATTTGAAGTCTCCCATTATGGGCATTTCCCCCCACCCTCACCGTATCCAATTATTTGTTAGCACATCAACTTAATGCAGCAGAAAGATATCAGTGTAAAAAAGGAAACTCTTGTCATTAAGAAAAGAAATAAGCAGACTATTTTCTTAGCAATGCTAAAAGAATGGGGAGTTAGAATTCCTAAGATGATCATAGCAGACTGATTTGTCGAAGCTTGTCATGTATATTTCTTAATGTTCCACTGCAGAAAATATTAGATCAGTTTTTCCTTCAGAAAGGATATACTTTCAAAGGTATCTTCCCTTCACCAGTTTCCACCTGCTTGGTTATGTGTTTGAAGAGCTGACTAAATGTTAAGGCAAGCAGAGACTTAATGCCATCAATTATCACCTCTTTTGCAATATAAACTCAATTTCCTCCAGCTATTCCTGGATCAAGACAGAACTATATTTAAATAAGGCACCTCTATACTGCAGGGTTGTCTAGTCTGGACTTGATGCTAGGAAGCAATGGAAAAAAAAATACCCACCCACTTCCTTGGCAACTTTTCTGAGTGAAATTAATCACTTTGATCTGGAAACATTTATGAGTTACAGAACATATTTTGACTGAGCTTGGAATCCAGTTATTGTGAATAACATCTTTTTTTCACTAAAATTCCTAACTCTAACCAAAGGCATTACTAAGAAAACTAAAGGGCTGCTACAAATTGGAATATAAATTGAAAGGTTTCAAACAAATTGAATTAGGATTTCAGAAAGTTCTCTAGCCCTGTTAGGTACTTAATCCATTGTTCCATAACTGCTTCAACAAGACCATATTACTTTTGCCCCAGTGTCCAGGTGACCTAGTTTTTGTTTTATTTTTATTTTTTGCAGGAATTAAGTCAAATGCAGCAGCAAGTGTCAGATACCTCTGTCGTATTGTCCATGGACAACAACAGAAGCCTGGACTTGAATAGCATAATTGCTGAGGTCAAGGCGCAGTATGAAGATATTGCCAACAGGAGCCGGACTGAGGCCGAATCATGGTATCAAACCAAGGTTAGTAGATAGAATAATACATTCATTAAAGCCCTAGAGTAACTTTTCATAACTGGATTAGTTGGACTACAGTTCCCAGAATCCCCTGCATTAGAGGGTAGCACGTTGTAAATGCATTGTCTTCCCATCCTTGACAAAATTATGCCAGCATCAATTATGCCGGCGAGTGGCGCTGTCCTTCCAGATTTAATGGGCGAGTGAGAAGGAAAGAAACTGATGCACTCAACTGAGTGCATTTCCCCGCCCAGGGCGTTTCCTCCTGGTGGGAGAAGCAGCCATCAATCACACTCCAGAATATGCGGTGGCTCAGGATCAGAGATGGGTTGCTCCCGGTTCGGTGAACCGGTAGCAGTGGCAGCGGGAGGTTCTGCCCATTCGCCCAGACGCTTCTGCGTATGTGCAGAAGCTTCGTACGCAAGCATGCCTGAACCGGTAGCAAAAAAATTGGCAACCCACCACTGCTCAGGATTGGGTGAGTATAGGCAGGTGTCTGGGATGAAAGGCTTAGTCTCCTTTCAAATTGCCTGAGGAGCAAGTCACAGGCAAATAAATGTGAGTTTGGATAGGCCATTTGTATTTCCCCCAAATCCTTCTGCAGAAAACAGTGTGGGGAGCGGTAGGGGAGGTGAAGTGAGAGGGTAGAGGGTAGAGGAGAGGAGAGGGAGAGGGGAGAGGAGAGGGACTTAAAAAAAACCTACATTGACAGGCCACAGACCTGGAGAGACCCGGGTCCAATGGAGATAACTCTTTAGTCCAATGCTCCAATGTTGTTGACCAACTTTCTTTTGGGTCTGGGACTTGTGAGCTGGGTGCAGAGGATGGGTCTCAAGATCAGAGCAGGGAGAGACACTACCCCTCTGCTTCCCTGCTTTTCCCCACCTGTTGCAAACCGAGTTGTTACAGGTACAGAGCAGGAGCATATGATAAAGCAGGAGGGTGAGCAGTCTGCTCCCTCCTCCTTC